AAATGCAAAAAAGACTTGTTTGCTATCATGATACGTCAGCTGGGTATTTAATAATTTTCAAAATCCATTGAAAGGTAATGTATCCACGACTTATTCACAGTCTCCTTTGATTGTTGATTGTTGATTGATGACGCCCTGTTCTTACATTTCCACGTAATTGGGATGGATAGCATGTCCTGTCGTTTCCGAGTGTCGTTTAATTGCCGGCAAAAATTCCTAGAGAAGACATGTGAAGAGAAAGAGGGAGAAACAAGACCACATGTCTCGGGTGGCACAACAGCTTTTGTTCAAACCCGTAAGTAAGAGGAGTCTCTGAAAGAACTCGGCTATCCTGGACCAAAAAAACGTTTGGACCGCTATTCGGCCGATCACTTGGCGACGTTTTCAAAAAACCTGTAGAGCGTTCAAGCTAGAATTAAGAGACTTTAATTGCTTACAAAGTCAAGGGTAGATCGTGCTCTTTTGTAGACTTTGGCGAAAGCTAAAGATCTTGGAGCTTGGGGGGAGGGGGGGAGGCCGAGCACAACCCTAGTACAAGAGGAAACAATGAATCGGTAATGAATCAACACGTGGAATCGACTGGACATGATATCCATCCTCATTACGTAGAAATATTAGAACGGGGCGTCAGCAAACGACAAAAACGCTTACTCTTAGAATCTTGACACTCCACCCAAAATAACGATGCTGTAAATGACTGCCAGCCCATCCCTACGGCCTATTTGTCCTTTGTTGTGCTCCTTAGAGATGAAAACATGCTTTAAAAAACCCTTTATTAATTTTTCACGTTATCATTTTACTCTGATGAAAGGCACACAGAACGTTGCCGAAAATTTAGCTGTTATACTTTTTTAGCGTTTTTAGGTCAGGTACATTTTAAAGTTTTAAGGGCCACTGACCATAAATATCGAGAGTCCACTGACAGTTGCAAAATTTCGTAATTCATTTTATTTTTTCTTAAGGACCCTTTTAAGGAACTTTTTTCGGAAATTATATAAAATAGTTCTATCCTCCCTTTTTTTTCTCCGAAAAATCGAAAAGTTCAATACACCCCTAAGTGGCTGTTGTCCTCCTCGTAAAGCAATTAAACATTATGCAAATTTGACAACTTTGTACGCTACAACGCGATGTAATCCCGTTTTTAAATTTTGTGTGCTAGCAGATGATCCTTTCATCTCTTGGAAAATATTAGCTTCTTATTATGTTGTACGTTTAAGTGTGAATAGTGAATCATTGAAATAAAGTACTTCCCGTCTCTTTCGCGGAGGTAAAATAAAGGTCAACTTCAGAGGCCTATGAACAAGTTTGCAATATAAACTTAAAAATTATGATAAACAGTACCTTAAAGCTTTATCCGTGTATTTAATTATTCCAATTCTCTATCTTGGCCCGCCCTAAGCGGCACGTCCAGGTTTAAAAGAGTTGGGGCTATTTTGTCAAAAATGCAATGCGAACCGCTGAACAGCTCTCAAGGCCTATAAAAAGGTCTTGTATGATATATTTACAAACCAAAATGATATCATCTTAAAGCTTTATTCTTTTAGTTTAATTCCTCAAGGTTTCTTTCTTGGCCCACCACAGGCGACCAGCTCTAAAAGAGTTCGGGCTAAGAGACGACAAACATATGTGATGCGATCCGTTGAACGGCGTATTTTAAACTTCGATTTTTTTGGCGAAAAAAAAAAGGCGCGACAGAACTTTTTGATATAAGTTTCGAAAAAGCTTCACGAAAAGGGTCCCAGAGAAAAAACTAAATGAACGAAGAAATTTTGCAACTGTCGGCGGATTCTCTCTGTTTACGGTCAGTGGCTCTTAATCGTGAACACTGACCGGCAAAGCGGTATTTCATAATTTCCCCTTCCCCCATTCGCACATTATACAAATACCACTTAATGCTTTCCAACCACACTGACTAGCTCCTTCACAAAGTCTTCACGGTACCAGACGGTTTCCTTTACTGAGTACAAAATTTTGTATTTGCTTTTTTGTCTAAAATGAGGCAGGTGCACATTTACTGCCCTTGATTAATCTTAGTCTGGAATCATTAACATTTTGTGGAATTTATTTTATCTTCTTTTGAAATTTGGCACTGCTTTCAGAAGGAAAATAAATTTCATCCATTTGTTTATACTCTTGAACATTTGAATCTCTAGCAGTGTAAAATACAGGTCACTGAACGCTCCTGCGAGTACATGTAGTTTCCTCGTGATGTAAAAAAAAAACCGGTTTTTAGTGGAGACAAAAAAATTAAAAATCAAGCTCAATGTAAGAAAAATAGAGAACTGATTTAAAAGTACATGTAAAATACTCCCAGAAGGCAACTACTTACAAGGAGGCAGTGTACCGGACTGGTTAGAACGTTGGCCTTGTAATCTAGTGGTTCTAAATTCCAACCCTCCCACCCGCTACTCACGGCCGGATTTGTTCTCACTCTGTTTTGAGCTCAACTCCTTGCCTGTGCTTTCTACATACAGAATGATGTATATAACCTACTGGTCTGCCTCCTACCAGTTAGGGTTATTACTTTTCTATCTATTCATAACTTTTTATTCTAGCTCGTTTCCCTGATTTTAGGGCCTAAATGAAGATTACTTCTTGTAAATCTGGTTTACCCTACTAAAATAAAGTGTAATATTATAGCTGTTGTTGTCACTGTTATCATTATACACCAAGCTTTCACACACATCCGTAAAAACCCCCGACAGTACCGATTCAGTATTAACTTTTATAACTTTTAAAAACTAATTTTTCACACCAAAAGATATGCTTCCAACCAAGCACAGGGCAAGGGCATTTACTTATCAGCTTGCAAAAGTGTTAGAGGAAGTGTTATAAGACTTAACCACAGAAGACCCGTCAGTTGGTGTTGTAGTTGGTGATGTTGTTGCCACATCATGCCTAGTCCCTTTAATGGAACTCACACTGAACTCTCCTAGCTTTCCATCTTTAAGAGCAGCATTTAGTGTTGTTATAACATCTTTTTCCTTTGTAGGAAATTTGAATTTCAGAGCAAGGTCAACAGTTATAGTTCCAGGCCTTGAAAAAGACAACAACGGAAGGTTAGAGTGACATGAACTGGGAAACAGATAACAAAAGAAGGAAATATTTAAAAATATGGAAACGAGAGCAACTGACATTCATTGAAATCCCTTTCATTTACATACCTCACATCTAGGAACTGCACTCCTTCATAGCCAGGTTTACTAGCAAAAGCCTCTTTAAGCTATAAGTAAATATTTCGATCATTTGTCAAAAAGTGCACATGTATCACGCACGTATACCTGTATTGTACATGGACATAAAAACAAATAAGGATGGCACCAAATGTTATGTACTAATAATTTAAATTGAACATGACTGTTTTGTTAAGGATCAAGGCAGAATCAATATATGAGTATTAGTCTGCCCGTTTCTTTTAACGTGCCGTTTCCATAACTAAATGTTTTTCTTTTTTGTCAACTACTTCATATCTTAATTTGGGTAAAAAAGGACCAGGCCATAATTGCCCTGAATACATAGCATGAGCAAACACTAAATAACAAGAAGATCGTGAAAAGCTTTGACAGGAAGATCTAATAGAAATCTAACAGAGTGAGTGCAATCTAGAAATTTAAGAAACACAATAGAATTAAACAAAATAATCTCCACACATTCTCCTGTGGCTAGCACCTTGGTCTGTAACCCTGAAGTAATCAACAATCATGTTACAATTACAATCCATTGAACAATTCAACAGGTCAAATGAAATTGAACATGGGAACACTTTATTTGCAGGAAAAATATCCCTCCAATATGTACTAAAAGATACTAAATTGAGAGCTTTGAAGGAAAAAACTAAGTTTATGTACGTAAAGTTACCAGTTCTGTCAATTTCTCCAGAAATAAGGATTGATTGTATTTTTCATCTTCATATACTTCACTTGTAATAACCATAGTTATGTTAACCACATTTCCTCCAATGTCTGTGAAGTAGGAGAAATAACACTATTAAAAGATTTACTCATGTTATTTATTGATGCAGGTATTCATTTGAAAGCCAGCACATTCAGAAAACTTTTCACCGTTCTACGGTTCTTCAGGGCTTCTGAAAAAACATGATGGTGCAATTTCGCACAAACGACCTCAAATCGCATCTGATCGCATAATTCAAAGAACATTTCAAAAATTCCACAGGATAAACGATAAATTAACACTTAAAAAAAAAACCACAACAATCGAAATCCAATGCGTCTTTGTTGCATGTTAGGGGTCTATGGGGAGCCGTTTGTAAATTTATTATTCAATTCGCTTTTGGTCGTTTTTTACGTGGTATATTCTTTTATTTATGATAATTTCATTATATCTATTGGTTACTGATGTAACCAATGTTGCGTTATTTGGTTATTTGATAAACCAATCCTGTGTTATGTGGTTATTTAGTATAACCAATGCTGCGCTATCTGGTTATTTGATAAAACCAATCTTGCGTTCGTTGGTTATTTATTCGATGAAACCATTGTTTAGTTTAAGTGTTGGAAATCTTTAAAATTATTAGTTTCACATGTATCTTACATGTTAAACAGCTCAAAACCTTTTGACTTTATGAACGAGGCCAATGTTATTATTTCAAGTAACCAATTTCATGACATTGGTTATTTGAAATAACCAAAGTGTCATCAGACTTGATGAGCCCAAGACTTGACCGGCTCAGTTTTCGCCCAGCAGTATTGCTGCATAAAACGGAAAGAAGAAAAAGGAGCCAAAACCTATCTGCAGAGAACAAGATCAGCTAGGCCGAAAATGCGATCAAGGCTTTACAAAGACATAAAGAAAAAGGAACTTGCCTAGAATCCCTACAATATAGGGCGAGGGCCAAAATAAGAGCGAACGAGGATTTCAAAAAAGAGATAAAGCAAATCAGTAACAACGCGGAGCAAGAAACAGTGAAGACCGAACGTGAAATCGGTCGTTTCAAGACCGAAATAAGATAAAGAAAACGAGCCAAAACGGCTGGAACACTGAACACTAAGAACTGTAGTGGTGGTGGTGGTCTGAGCCGTCGTTCCGACAGATCTCCTTTCTCTCAGAAGCATTCAGTTGAGGAGGGTGGCATGCTCTCAGCGGTGATCATCAGAAGGCATCAGTTGAGGAGAGTGGCATGCTTTCTGCGGTGGCCGATCAAACCTCTACGTAAATGGCAATGACGTTGGTAGTCTGGGCAGACATAGTCAGTGTTTGGCACTGATTGGTTTTGGGCTGCATGTCGGGCAATGCGAGTTTTCTGAAACAGCTCCATGCAACGACGTGACGATACTAAGAACTGTAGTACGATCGAATCAGCGCGCGTGCCGCAAGCTGAAAGCAATCAATACAATGTAACGATCGAGACAGTCAAAAAAATAGCTGTTAATCTCCAGGAACAAATCGCTCAGTTCGGCAGTATGATGAAAAGAGTAAGAACAATGGAGAATAAAGAATTTGAAAAGTACACACGTGTATTCAGTCTGACTCCCAATACAAACATGGGGCCAAGAAACGAATTTCAAAAGCCAAGCAACTAGCAACTAACAAACACAGGGAGCGCAGAAAAGTCAGACGCCAAACACGTTCAACTATCAAAATAGAGACGAACAAAACGCACATAAAAACCTCTAACAAAGAACTTACAAACGACCAGATTAATTTACTGGCAAGAGGGCTTAAATTCATTCCAACACCCATTACAAAACAAAAACAGATCAGACAACAACTATTGCGTGACTTTAATCAGTTCGCAAGGAAAATGCGTCTGATTTACATATTCCGAGGGGAGGACAAAAAAAACCCATCCCTGCCACGTCAAATATACATGGAATAAATAACCAACGAACGCAAGATTGGTTTTGTCAAATAACCAAATAGCGCAACATTGGTTATATCAAATAACCACATAGCACAAGATTGGTTTTATCAAATAACCAAATAACACAACGTTGTTTATATCAAATATTCCAATACGTTAACGCAAGATTGGTTTTATCAAATAACCAAATAACGCAACATTGGTTAAATCAAATAACCAACTAACGCAAGATTGGTTATATCAAATAGCCAAAATAACACAGGATTGGTTTTATTAAATAACCAAATAACGCAACATTGGTTATATCAAATAGCCAAAATAACACAAGATTGGTTTTATTAAATAACCAATGGATCTAATGAAATTATCATAAATTAAAGAATATATCACGTAAAAAACGACCAAAAGCGAAATAAATAATAAATTTACAAACGGCGCCCCATAGCCCCATAGGGTTCCGGCACTAGTTTTTCATTTCCTAAGAGTTTCTTATTAGAAACTCACTTTTGATCGAAATACACGAGGCGTTCGTAACACGGACGCCATATTTAAGCGCATGGCCAGTATCTGGGTCGGGTAACGCACACGCTAAAATCGGTTTAAATTGGAAAAATATCTGCACAAGTTCAGAAATAAATCGTAGAAGATGGCTTTCACGTCTTCCGTAGAGTGAAAAAAGATGTTTTTTTTCCTTAAAACCTGATGAAACAAGCTTACAATAGCACAGAAAAAAATTGCACAACTTGCAATGATAAAAGTTGCACAATCACCGATTTTTATTCCACAATTTGCTGAAAAAAAAATCGCGCAATTCACATTTTGTATCGCACCCTATCAGAAGGCCTGGGTTATTTAACCGAAGAGAAAATTGAGAAGTCGGTTGCTTTCTGTAATCGACTGGTTAGAAGAACTTCATGTGGGCTTCTTGACATAAAAAGAGCACTTGAACTCTGTGTTAAGAGTTTGGAAAATTTTCTTAAGCTGAAGTAACTCACATAGGGAAAACTCCTTGATCATAGCAAGCTTACCGTCTGCTTACAAATGACAACTGACAGATTTTTTAATGCACTACTTACCACACTCACCCTCGTTCGCCACCTGGAGTTTAAATTGCTGCGCTGCTTTATTTGCAGCTAGAACAGAACTGCTTTAATATGCATGACAACACTTTTGTAACTTACAGACATTGGCAGTCTTTGAAACAGATTCAGGTGCATTGGCCACTCTGCAGGTATAGTTGGCATCTGCAAGGACTCTTGAAATATTAAGAGTATTCTTGTCACAAACTTGTTTGAAGCCGCATGGAAACCAAGTGTAAGTTGGTGGAGGGTTCCCTTCGGCTTCACAGCTAAGAGTTACACTTTGTTGTAGTCCAACAATATACTCGTCTTGAAATTTAACAATTTTGGCTGGATCTGTACATTAAAATGAAATTAACAGTCGGATAAAACAACAACATTTTCACAAACATGTACTGGGTGAATCGTCTTCAGTGGCTAAGAGGTCTAACCGTAACTGTACGATACATTCAATTACTGCTCTTCTTCTACACGTAGTCAGTTGTTCTGTAACTGAATTAAATTAAAAATTGAAAGTTTCTGCAAAAAGCACTCCTACGACAATGTGAGGTTCCCATAAAATTTCTTTTGTCTGGATGTCAACTGCCATTCTCTTGCCATTTTTAAACTCGTTTTAAATTAGTCAATTAAATCCTCAATCTCATCCCTTCACTCTTCGAAAACTAAAGACGTGATATTTCCAATCTTTAAGAAAAGATCTAGTCAGATATCATAATGACCGGCATGTAAGCCTCANTTCTTGCTTCACACCAATATTTCCTTGGTTCCCTGGATTGCCTCGGGTCCAAGTGATGTTTGGATCTGGTTTACCCGAAGCTTCACAGGTTAACTGTAGGCTACCGCCTTCGCGAACAGTTCGTTCACCTCCAATTTCAGGGGTTGTTACTGGAGCTAAGGGCAATCAAATAATCTTACATATGCTACAATAACTAATATATTTAAAGCACGTTCAAGGACTGTGTAAAACAGATAAAGGCTCTTCGTATGCTTTCCAAATGCACTTACTTCACATATGAAATAAATGTGCAAAACATAGGAAGACCGTCCCTTGATTTTATCAGTATGAGAGGGTGAGTACACACCGATACATGAATGCAATATTTTAAACACGGGTGGAAAAAAATCATTATGAAATTTACCCACTAAACATAAGATGAGAAAAAAATCCCTGATTTTAAAAAAAAGTTAGTTTATCCAGTGGGCTCTTTGTTTCGTTGAAGAATATCTTTCTGGATCCAAAAGCCTTAGCTCAGTACTTTCAGTTAAGCTTTCAATTTCCTGCACGAAGTAAAATAAAATGACTCCACGTGACATTGTTTCAATTTTTCAAACAAATAAATACATCTAAACCATCTGTAAAATGTAAATGCAATGTTACTTGTAAATGTGAGGCCTACCCGGCAAACTTCACTATGTACATACGAGTATCAGCTGCGATACTCGAAACTTTCAGCCAACTCGGAAACACTTAAACTTTTTGCAATACTTCTCTTTGGAATACATCCAAATGTGTTCAAGTGAGATGAAGAAAATGTTCGTAATGTTTAGTCCCCATCGTCATTCCAGGTGGTAAATTAAACAGAATGATACAGCTTGAATTTAAACGGCCCATAATGCACGCGAAAAGCCTATGGTAAAAAGCGTGCAACAAAATCGTGCGCAAAATGAGCTCATTGTAGGTACGATATAGTCCTTTTGATTATCCGTTTGTATAACTTTGGTATGGTGTGTTAGATTTTAACATAAAAACGATTCCAATGTTGGTGACACGTGGTTTGTCCTGAAGCTGAATCCATTCATCTAAAACACAACTAACACAGATTTCAGGATTTTGAAATGACAGTTGGCTATCATGCTTCTCTGTTTCAGAACAGTCCACCACTGATCAACTAACGTGATTTTGAAAATTTGTCCAACTCAATCCCTTCTTTTTATTTTTTCAAGAAATAAGGGTACCACCGTTTCCAAAGTTTCCGCTAGTTTCAGAGGTTCCGCGGTCTGCTAATCTGCGGTTAAGTAATACCCAATGACCGAACAGAAGGAGAAGGAAAACGAACATAGCACTAAGATTAACTATGACTTATGCTGTCCAACTCCTACAAGAAGTGATTTCAAGACAAATATTCGAAAACTGGTTTTATGCGCACTTTAGCTCTCAAAGACACAAAATTTCACGTAAAGTCAAGGTCACTCAAAATATGAAACTAAATTTCTTGGATAGATAGGCTTAATGAATACTTCATTTGCTTTAGTTTTCTTTGGTTTCTGTTGTGCAGTTCTTGGTAGAAATGTAAGAATTCACGGGACTCCAAAACTTTTCAAAAATATACTTATAGTAAAACTCAAACCAAGAACTTCCTTAACATACTACACAAAACAAGCTATTTTGAAGAATTTGGAAGTTAGCATTGATTGATTAGAAAGGAAAATAAATATCCCATGGCTTTCGCTGTAAAAAAAATGCCAAAGGCGACATATCGAGTGTAGCCTTGGACGTGAAAATGTTGCGCTTGACAGCATAAAGGCCTTGGTTGCAGTTTTACCACCATACAGATCTTCCGGATGGTAAATAATATAAATATATTCAGGGAAGTAACATTTCTAAAAATCAAGGCTCAAAAATTTTACTCCTCCATACATTTAAAAGAAAAAGAAAATATTGGCTCGCAGGTACATTGTTTTGTATCATATATTCAAGACAAGCTTTCTGACTATCCTCACAACATTGATCTTTGCCTCATGTGTAAACTAAAGAAATTGTGAAACCTGCATGGAAGTATCTGAGGCATTAGAGTGCAAAGAAATTTAGATTACTGGAAGTGCATGAACAAAATTTGAAGGTGCATAAGTGGTTAATGATGATGTACATGTAAAAGCTCTTTATTTTACCACCACATGCCCATAGTGCAATACTTTGTGGCAATTTTCCTCACCTACAACTTCCACTTGAATCTTACGCCTCCAGTCCCCATCAGTTAAAGTGCGCACCACACAGCTAAATGCTCCGTTCACCTTATCATCAGCACTTGTAACCTTAGAAATAACCAAAGCAACTCTTCCAGGGAGAGTCCAATTCACACCGAAGCGGTCCAGGAATGCAGCAGTTATCCCACCACTTCCTCCATTTGGCAAAAGTCTCACTATATCATCAGAATTGAATTCAATGTCCACTGAATTGAAGCTTAGATCTTGAGAAAGACTAAAGTTCCACAGAAGTGTAGCAGCTTGCCCATCATAATGTCGTGAAACGTTTGGGGCAAACATATCACTTGAACTTCTTGCTGTTTCAACTGCAAGAGGTTCAAACCATGTAATTTGTGTGCCATCTATATGTGAAAAGAGTACACAAATTAAACGTTATTTAAAAATTGTCATATTCTTAGAAAAACTAATTTGCAAAGAACTAAACAGGGTTCTTGCACTTTTTCAGAAACCCAATTCAAGGACTTTCAAGGACATTTTAGGTCATTTTCAAGGACCTTGTCTCTCAAATTCAAGGACCTTTTACATTAAATAGGAGCTAATAGCAATAAAAAGAACATTGCTCTTTAATGTTAAAAATAACTAATAATAGTCCACCGAGCGCGACTTTAAGTATGCGCACCAGAGTGATTACGTGCTAGTATCGCCCAGAATGCTATTGCCTTTTGCGACATGTACTTGCAGTGCCCATTGATCAGCGGGCAGCATTGCAAATTGCAAAACATTGCAAAACATTGCAAATTGCAAATTGCAAAATGCAAATTGCAAAACATTGCAAGTTGCTAAAAAGAAATACAGGGCGGAAAGTTGTTTCTACGCACAAAAGAAAATAAACGATTTTTTAGAGAATACAGCGCCTTTTTGCAGCCGTTTTATCACAAAAGAACGAGAGAAATGTTTCTACGGGGGGATGAATAAGTTCTTGTTGAAATAACTATCAAAGATGTGATAAAATGTACCGATAAAGTTCTCTCGTTGCGTACGGTTTTTTGTGAAAATCGACATCTCGTAATGGCCTCGAAATATTCCAAAGTTAGATAGAAATCAGAGGAAATTACCCAATAAAGAAATTTCAGTTGTAACAACGATCGAAGGTACTCAGAAAGGCAAAAGATTCTACTCGCTCAAGAATAAGATGTTTGTCGTGGGCCACAGCTATTAATCGTGATCAATTCAAGGTTACCATGAGTACGAAAGTCTGTTCAACTCCTTTTGCACAGGGTTATAGAACGGCTGAATGTCCTTCAATAACACTGTGCAAGAAAAGGTACGATTGTAAGTAAATCTAAAAGACCTCCCCCAAAGATCGGATCTACACAAAT